GCTGGAAACATATGATCTTTAAATGAGAGGTGAGATTCTGGAGCACAGTTCTGCAGCAAGGAGTGAATTGATCGCAAATTCTGTGACCACTGAATCTCAGAATACAAAGGGTCTTGGCTGTAACTCCCATTCAGTGGGAATTATTCAGCTGGTGGTGAGAGCATTATGCCCATGAAGATTAATCACAACTGAGGATATGGTTTCCCAGCTCTATTGTACACAATGAAGCCTGAGACTCTCAACTCGCAATACTGCTATATCCTTCACTGGAGCAGAACTTCATTAAAATACAAGCTCATGGACCCAGATCCTCAAAGGTATTCAGGGTCTAATTCCAATTGATTTCCCTTTGGGCCAGTGAGAGAGGTTGAAAATGACTCTCTAGCCTGGTGATTAGGGCACCCAGGTGGGAGACCCTAGGTCCAATCCCCCTGCTCCATGACTCTATTATTTGTATAGAGTGGAACAGCTTCAAGAGGAGAGACTGAGGACACCCCACAGCAGACTGTCCTATTGCTCGCCTCATCAAGCAGGGGGGAATTGAACCTGGGTTTCCCACAACCTAGGTGAATCTCTAACTATTGGGCTATAAGTTTATAAAAGGAGGGCACCTCTTCTGGCCAGGGTGGGACCTGATCTGGTAGGCAGTTTCTGAGCACACCTGCTGGATCAGGCCCCAGATGAGAGACAGGTGGCCGAATGCCTGTCTCCCCCTGTTTGTGAATCGCTCTGGGGTTAGGCAGGAGGTAGGTGTCTAGATGCCTAGAGGGAGGCAGCAGTGTGCATGCAGTGCAGAGGGAACTTATATAGAGGGAACTTTCAATAACCTGAAAACTTATTTGCTGAGTGAGTTTAGGCACCTATAGACTTCAGCAGGAGTTTTATGGATCACAGTGGAGCCTAAAGCTGGAAGTGAGGGTCCTAAACTCAGATGTAGGTACCTGAGTGCCTTTGTGAATCCTGGATTCATTGACTGATAATATCACTCACTGAGCCCTTCAGCGGCTAGCACATCACATCTGCTGCAGGTCCCTGTGCAACAGATATTACAACCCCATGCAGTATCTTTGGAGAGCACTGTATTAAATCCATGAACGGATTCTGCACAATTGTGTTCTGCTCCATGGGGGACGGTTATCACAGCTCCTCCAGGAACAAAGTGTGTGTGGTGATTACCTGTTGGGATTGTAAATGACTCCAGAGAAGCACCACCCCCCCTGGGGTGCTTGCATTTGCTGGCTCAGCCTGGGTTTTCCAGAGGCTCAGACAAAGAAAGCATAGGCGGCGAGTTATGTGGGCCCGCGATGTCCGTGCTCCACCAATATTAAGGAAGGTGGGCCTGGCTCCACCAATGTTTGGGCTTATATTTTCAGAGCCGTCCCATCCATAGGACGGACTGGGGCAACTGCCCCAGGCCCTGTGTTTTGGAGGGCCCTGCGCTTCAGGGGGTCCAGGGTGGCCTGGTGCCGGCAGCCCAGCCCACCCCTTCCCCCAAGCCCCTCCCCTGCCCCACCTCTTCTCACCCCTGCTCTGCCCCCTCTCCACCCCATTCTACCCCTTCCCCCAAACCCTGGCCCTGCCTCTTTCTGGCTTCCACCCCCTCCCCCAAGCCAGCAGAGCGGGGCAGGATGGGCTGGGGCTGGGACCAGGTTGCTCACTGCTGCCAGGGCCAGGTGCCCCGCTACTCCCCCAGGCCACCCTGGACCCCGCGTTCCCCAAAGCACAGGGCCCGGGGGAGTTGCCCCGGTCTGTCCTATGGATAGACGGCTCTGCTTGGTCCTGTTCTCAGCACCACAAAAAATTATACAAACCTGGCACCCATGAAAGAAAGAGGTTTTGGTATAAAAAGACTGAATTTGAACGGACTCAGGGCCTCCCTTCTGATTCAGCAAACAGGCAGCGCCTTCTGTCCGGACCCGGGGGAGGGGCAGGTTCTTGGAGAAGGTTTGGAAAGACTTTGGTCTACTAGGGGCCCATAAAACTAGTGAGTGACTATTTGTATGTTTGTTTAAGTCTGTTCTATTTTGGTGGGTTTTTTTCTAGGTTTTTTTTCTGTAATGCTTTTACCTTATGAATAAATGTGCCTATTTAGAAAGAGCTAAGTGGTCACTTGTAACTGCTGGCAATGCACTGGCCATAGCGCATGGAGAGAAAACAACATACAGGCACTGGCCATTAGGTAGACTGACTTGCTGGGGATATCACAGTGTGAGATAGGGGGCTGTGCAGCCTTTAAACCCCTGGTCAGAAGGGATTGGCACAAGGGTCCCTGCCCAGGGACAGGTGATTGCTGGAGACCTGAGACCTGACTGGGGACTATTGCAGTGGACCCCTGAGGGGCAATACACATGTAATTACCCTGAAACTGTGAAGGTCCTGGTGGAATCTTCATCTCTTTCGTGTCATTCACTGAAATGATCTATGCTGGAGACTGTCCGGTGAACCTCATGATGTGATCAAGGCAGAGTAATAAATGGGACCTGGGTGTGTTCATTTCAGGTTTTTTATTGCTGCTGCTCTCCTGCCTACAGCTGGAGAGAGTCCCTTTAATAAAAGGAACTCATTAGTAACCAATAATGTGTGCTGGCAACACAATCCGATTTCCAGACTTCGTGCAAAGTGCAGTTGTTTCCAAAGATAACTCTATAGTGATCTCAAACCAGCTGCAGCTTTAGCTGGATGGCCTGAACCCTGCTGTTGGTAATACCATCTCTGGAATGTACAACTCAGTACATTATTGTGCAGTTGTTAATTCTCAATAAAAACAGGTCTAGTTATCCGTTGTCTTTTCCCATCTGTAATCACTCACAGCTGTATAAAACAACCAAATTAGAATTCTCTACTCACATACACAGCTGGTAGCATTTTACATTCACTTAGCACAGGTACAGATGGCTATATAAGGCAGTGGAGAGTCAGGCCCAATTTGTGGGATTAAAAAAAAAACGAATTGGTATTTTAATAACAAGGTACTAGATTTTATTGGCAGATGGCAAATTGACAGATGGCAAACTGCGAGGGCAAACTAGCAAAATATAAGTGATGATACTGGAACTGCATATGGCCTTCATAGATCCTCTCTTGCATATGGAATACAATTCAGGGTATCTTTCCCAGGCAAAGATTATTGCCATGGAAAGGGTATTAGTGATATTAAGATGATACTGTCAATTCAGGAAGTTGGGTTTATTCTGGGAGGAAAAGAAGAGACATCAGGATGACCTAATGGAAGGTTCTGCGATTATGAAAGAGATGGATAAGGCAGAGAGGTCACCTTATGGAGAGGATCAGAATCAGGAGACGTGAAAGTGATGGATGAGGAGTGTAGATGTACTCTGATGGAGTCATTCAATTTAAGTGATGATTGGCATAAGAAACCAATTACTGGGGATGCTGACTGAAGAATCTAAATTATTTGTTTCTGGGGAAAGGTTAAGCAGTATGCTGGGAAAAAACAGGAAAGTTCAATCAACCTAAATTAAACCAGGGCAGATGTATTGGGTTGGATGGCTTTCTCTGGTTCCAAACATTCCTCCCTGTCAGTGTTGGGGTGGCTGGCCTTTCTCTAGAGATGCTCAAATTCATTAATCCCTCTGAGGAAATAAACATTCCTGTCTCATCTGTGTCTTGAAGAGTTCATTTTACAATCCATAAAGGTTACTCCAGAAGGGCTCAGAGAATGTGGTTATTAATTGGCTGCCAAAGAAGACTATCTAGTACCTTCCACAGAGGCTTAAGAATGTTCTTCCATATTATAAAAACAGTGTGAATAGCACAATCCCTGGTAAGATCCCTTAACTCATTTCTGATCATCAGTCTGCTACCTGAAACTGCAACTGCAGGACCTAGCAATAAGAAAATCTGCCAAAGATGGTCCAGCAATTGATATGCAACAGGGCAAAGCAACACCACCCAACGCTTTAGTACACAGACTGAAGAAGAATATTGGATCCAGCTGAAACTGAAAGAGGAATGTAGGATGGCAGAGTGTAATTGCCCACAGTGGAATCTGACCAGGATGGGAGGACTGAATCCCTACTCTTGCTAAGGGGACAATGGAACTCATAAGACCACAAGTTCTCAAGACCTTGGCTTCACGTCTCACCAGAAAGCCAGCACGTCCAGCCGTGTAGCATCCCCTATCGTCATGCTGGGCATGTGCTCAGGCAGCTCTGACTCAGAGAGAGGAGTGTGAGTCACTGACAGCACAATTGCTTGCCAAAGGCACGGAGGGCAGAGGCATTCCATCTGTAACCACTGGTCCGCTTCAGGACACTGTAGAAGCCTATTTGACATTAGGTTAGTTCTCTTCTCTTCTTTTCACCTGGACCCACAGGCCAGGGGAGACAGAGTCCTCTGCTCCACAGACCCTTCATTTGTGATGGTCCCAGGTAAATGTCTTGATGTATGATTTCAGAGTAGCAGCTGTGTTAGTCTGTATTCACAAAAAGAAAAGGAGGACTTGTGGCACCTTAGAGACTAACCAATTTATTTGAGCATCAGATGAAGTGAGCTGTAGCTCACGAAAGCTTATGCTCAAATAAATTGGTTAGTCTCTAAGGTGCCACAAGTACTCCTTTTCGTCTTGATGTATGTTTGAAATGGATCCCAGGCACCTTCTCTCCAGCCGATTGTTACCTGATGTTGTGCAAATCAGAGGGTACGCCCTTGTACCCATAAATGCAAAACTACCCCCCCTCCCACTTCTGCGGTTGATAATTAACCCTTAGCTCTCGTGTCCCCTAAAACACCAGCACTAAAATAAACCCTTATACAGTCCCGCCCACTCCAGGAGCTCCAGAGGGGCCGCTGGGGAGGAGATCATCTGAACTCGGGGTGGAAACGCCCCATTAGTGCGTTGGGTCCATTCCCGCCACGCGAGTCCAGTGCTGGCCTGGCACCGCGCGGGGCTCGGCTCCCGGCGTGCGCCAGATCCCAGCTGTGCGCTGGAGAGTACAGGGCATTAGGACCCTGAGGCTCTCGCTCTCTTTTTCTGCTCCGCAGGACTGAGCCGCGAGAGCAGAGCTAAAACAAACAGCTGTGACGGGGTAAGAGCCGGCCGAACAGAGAGAGGGCGAATCCTGTCACCAGCACCCTCCTCTCCCCCACCTCCCTCACACAGAGCGCGGACCCTTCCCTCGTCTGATCCCTGGGAAACCTCTTCTCCAGGTTATCTGGCTCCCAGGCTCCACTGGGGCTTTCGGGATGAGGCGGATCAGGGCTAATGCCATTGCAATCCTGACTGTAGCCTGGATCCTGGGCACTTTCTATTACTTATGGCAGGACAACAAGCCTCATTCGGCAGCCTCCAGCAGATCCCCTAGCAGCAGCGGCAGGAATGGGCAGAGATCAGCTGCGAGGCTGGAGAGCCACAGGGAAGATGGGACCATCCCCCTCATTGTGAGTGAGACACGCTCGCCGAGCGGATTACATTTTAATTCTTCAGCAGCGGTTGTTGCGGGGAAATTGCATTGCGCGTCGGTGCTGCTGCCGGGTGAGGTGTTGTCAGGACCATTCATCTAGTTTGTCAGAGATTGGTGGGGGCTGGTGAATGAAGGGGGGGCGGCGGGGATACATTAGAGGAGGTGTTAGATGTGCATGGGTTTCTTTCTATTTATTTTAGCATTCTGGCTTGTAACCATGACAGCACTTGCAATTGGGGAGCACTACCCAAAGTCTTGGAGAAATAGGCTAGCGCTGAATGTAAAGTCGTGTCCACTGGATGGCCAGGGTCTGTTTCTCTGGCTAGGAGCTGGATTTCCTTTTTGGCTAAGAAAGGGGTGGCTGAAACAGCCGTGAAGGCTTGTTGGGTTGTGTTCAAGCTGCGTGTTTTAAATGAGGCCAGAACGATTTGCATTTGCAGAAAACAGTTTCTTAGGTCCTGGGCTCCATGATCCTTGCTCTGGAAGGATTGTGAGGGTCAGGGCCTGGGGGAATAATGTTGCAACACCCACACTGCCATGTGGCGGGTTTGGTGGTCTCAGCTGCATCATCCATTAGTTGTTGTACGTCCTAATGTGAGAGCACAGCAGAGCGTGCGAGCTTGGAAGTTAAAACTGAATTGAGCCAGAGGAAGCTCTCTACTGTTAGATTCATATTTCGGTTGAGCTCAGAGCGAGACAGGAGGGGTAGGCAGCCCTGGTTTATCCCTGCTTACATCCAGACTGGCTCCCTCCCCCGTTTTATTTCTAATTTGAGGCACTGTATCAAAAAGACCTGTCCTCCACTTTTCCTGGGGATGTCCAGGGGTTTGGCAGGGGGGTCAAATAGAGCTTCTGCTCTCCCTGTATTAGGGGAGATGATAAGAACCATTCAGCTCTATCAGGTGGAGAAGGTTTTTCCTCTTTCAGGCTACAAGGTAAAAATAAAAAGCCACTATTTACTGTAAGAAAAATACAAGTAACCAAATAAAAAACTCATTGAGCCCATTCTTACTGGAAACCTGGGCAAGACCACTCAGAAATTGGGAGATGTGTCATTGTTTATGTTTGTCTGCGAATCATCTGGTTGCACAGACATGGAAAGGAACAGAAACAGCCTGGTCTAATAGTTAGAGCAGAAGCCTGGACACCAGGATTCTTGTCTTTTCTTAGTGACTTGCTTTGTAACTTTGGCCAATATCTCAGTTTTTCCATCTGTAAAATAGGGCTGTGTGACCATCACATGGGGGTCATGATGCTTAATTTATTAATGTTTATAAAACACCATGAGATCCTACAATGAGAGATGCTTTAACAAGTGGTGTGTGTGTGTGTGTGTGTGTGTGTATGAGGGAGAGGGAGAGAGAAAAAAGAGGGGGTGGGGGGAACCCTACAAACACATAAGAACTGCCATACTGGGTCAGACCAAAGATCCATCTAGCCCAGGATCCTGCATTCCGACAGTGGCCAATGCCAGGTGCCTCTGAGGGAATGAACAGAACAGACAATCATCAAGTGATCCATCCCCTGCCACTCACTTCCAGCTTCTGGCAAACAGAGGCTAGGGACACCATCCCTGCCCATCCTGGCTAATAGTTATTGATGGACCTCTCCTCCATGAACTTATCTAGTTCTTTTTTGACCCCTGTTATAGTCCTGGCCTTCACAACATCCTCTGGCAAGGAGTTTCCCAGGTTGACTTCCATGTATTGCCTTACAACCCAGGAACTCTACAGGAAAGGTCATGTGGTGAAGGCATAGGGCTAGAAGTCAGGAGACCTGGGTCTGTTCCTAGCTGGGCCACAGAGATCCCAATTTCTGGTGTGCTCTTGGACAAGTCATTTTGCCTGTTTCATAGTTTCTCCATCTGTAAAATGAGGGAAATCATATGAACTTAGCTACCTCTCTGAGGGGTTGTGTGGCTTCATGCCTTCATGTTTGCAAAGCCCCTTGAAATCCTCAGAGGGAAGATGCTGTAGAAGTGCCAAGTCTTATTATATTACTAATGTGTGGTATGTAAGTGCACATGCTCATACACATACACAAATGGTGTGATGATAAGCTTTAGTCATTTTTGAGTCATTATTATTAAAATATGGCATTACTGGTGGAGTACTATAGACATTGTCATTAAAGAAAAATAGGGATGGGTCAGCCTGACCTGGGCTTCTGTCCCAAGCCCATTAATAGAACGGGATAATGCCGCTCTCTGCCTCCCCATTCCTCTCTGTAATTGGGGTCAGAGGATTTGCTACCATACTGGTCTATCTACTCCAGATTCTTGTCTCCAGTAATGGCCAATAGGTAATGGGAGAAAGGAAGGTGAAATGTAATGCACTTGACTGACTGTGCAGTGCTGTACATGGAATACTCCTTCCTGACCCCTGCAATGATCAGTTTATACAAGGAAGCAGGAGAATGGAAGCAGTTGGATCTTCTGAGTAACCGCATTTCTCAAATATATTCTATACACAGTGTGCTTTCCAAAATGTTCTGTCTGCTGCTGTGAGAGTCAAGCCAATCAAATGCCGTATTCTTGCTGATGTGACCCCTTGCAGTGGCATTACTGTTGATTTGGCACCACAGTGAGAGAGTAACGGGACTTTACTGTGATGGAATGTGAATAACAAGCAGTCAGCCCCATTTGTAGCAGTCTCATTGGATTGCTAGAGACAGCTCTGGGAGGAGGTGAAGCAGAGAAATAAGCAAGGAGCCAGTCTGGGGTGTGAGGGGAAGATCTGTGGGCAGAGAAGCTGGAGAGCAGGGTGGTTGACATGCATTCCTGCAGGCTCTGTCCTAGGCACACTTGGCATAGGTTCTGATTTTTCAAGGCATATAAAATGTGCCTTTGTAGTTGCTTTTATGTGGGAACAGAAGCTATTAATATATAGAGAAACAGGTGCTCCTGGGTCTGTAGTGCCGTCAGCTCTGGTCTCCTTAGGAGTTAATTACTTTGCATAATAAACAATGTCAACACTATTTGTTTACCAGGTGTATCTATTGGCTGTTAACTTTTCCAAAGTTCCAGGGTGTTTGGATCTGCAGTTTTGGTTTGGCCCACGATAGAATTGTTAAGGTAAGCCACACAGTTTGGCTCCAGATCCAGATGTATCTCTGGTTTTTGTGGTTGGCATCTGGAGATTTGTTTGGGGCTTGTATTAAGATTCTTTGGAAGCACATTGTTTTGCAGTTTTAAAACCCTCTTTGTACTGCTTTTGTCTGCAAATCTCTTCTTTGACCAAGTGAGTCCAGAAGTTCTGCTCTGTGCCATTGCAAATCCCAGGTGAAAGACATGTTTAAAAAATGGAAATGCCTTTTTGGGTTTTACAGGACTCTTTTTATCCCCTCTTGAGTTGGAAAATAAAAATCTACAGCTAACTAAATGGAGAATGAGCAGGTAGTAAGGCCACTAAATAACTGCCTGACTTCTGATGGCCAATGTGAGCCTGACTTTCAAACTTGGGTGCCTAAAATTTTGAGTCTGCTATGGAAATCTCTATATCAACCCTAATCATTAGCGGGAGGTCAGGTGTTACAGTGATGGGTCTCCAAGAAATACCTGAGATTCGATAATGTTGGACACTCAAATCCCTGTTCTAGGCACAGAAGTTTTAAAAATTTGGCCTCTCTGGGTCAAAAGTCATCCTTGGTTTCATCCCACTGAAATCAACAGATTTAAAAAAATAAATGAAAAGACTGACTAGGTCAGCTTTGGAAATCATCTGCAAAGCTGTGTCCCCTTTTGAAATAAACATGGAGATGAACTAGTAAAAATCTGCTATAGGCTATGTCTACACTATGCAGCTTTTAGCGACACAGCTGTGCGTGCCGCTACAAGGTGCACAGTGTAGCAGCTGTTTGTCGGTTCTCCTGCCGACAAAAAACTTCCACCCACAACGAGCGGCCAACAGAGCACTGTTCACACAGACGCTTATCATCGACAAAACTTTTCTCTGTCGGGGGGGGGGGGGGTTAACACCTCTGAACAACAAAAGTTTTCTTTCACTTGCCATTGTAGACCTAGCCATAGTTACAGGCAAAGCTCAACTCCTGTGTGTTTGGCTTTCCAAATTCCCTCTCCAAAGACCACAAAGGATCTGCAAATAGCTGGTGGTTGTTCCTCTAGGATGGGGGAACCAAAATACAGCCCAAGGGCCAAAGGCAAATGCTCAGGGCTGAGTTGCTGTTATTATTTAGTATTAAATACAGCCCACAGAATCCAATGGGGCAAGCTCACTCCCATGCAGTTATCACAAAGCTATCGGCACCACTGTGTAGTGATGAGGCGTGTGTAAACGAAACAGCTGCATGAAGAGGATCATGGCATTCCTAGAGAGGCTGTAGAGGGGGCCCTGCACCAATCCCAAACAGGCTAGCACAGAGTGGTTATTGGGGTAACTGTGGGAATCCATCCTTACCGGATGTCAGTGGTCCAGAAGAGCAGTGGATGATACTGACTCGTAGGCTGAAAGAACAGCAGTGAAAGGAGTGAGGTGCAGCCCTGCTGCCTAGGTACAGGTTGGGGGTAAATTCCAACCCTCCTTGGAGTAACCCACCCACAGCTTGATTAACCCAGACTAGTATGAGGAGGAGTAAAAGTTCACCCAAAATATAGTCTCTCTGGCCACTCTTTTTTTAATAAACTGCAGGCTGAGAACAAATCAGAATCTGATGAGCTGAGCCCCAGGACTTGGTTGCTGGTGAATTGAGCCAACAAGCACTCCCTGCTCATCTCTCAAGGAAGGCGCAAATACCACAGTCCTGGGTATTTATTTTTTATGTTTAACAACGTGGTACTTTTTTTAGGAGTAGCCCTGGGGCTCCTGCACGTTGCTCACATGGCTCTCTCTGTTGCAGCGTTTGGGCTTTTCTGAAAAACAGCATTCCAATACATGTGCCCTCCTTTCTCTTTCTCCCCAGTGGGATGTTGTCTTCAGCTCCCCATAGGTCTCCTTTACACAGAAGCTTTAAAATGGGTGA